AATACTTCCTGGGATTCAATTCTTTCACTCCAACAATAACTCCACCCTCCCATAGGCAGTCTCTATCACCTGGAGAATTTTCAGTCGGCAGTTAACACCTCTTTTTTTCTCAAATTCCTTTTATTAGCTAAGCAAGCAAGGCATTTTGAAGACCATTGTCCCAAGGCATACAAGGGGAGCCAAGCCACCACCTTTGCTGGGCTTGTCTTGGTGAAATATCTCCATTCCCACCTGCACCTCTGACCTGTGCAGGCAGAGGCTGAGAGCGTTGTGTTCCTTTTGTTAGTTAAACTGCTAAATCTCCTAGGACTAGCAGTTTTCCCAGGAAAGAGGAGGACAGAGCTTTAGCTCCCCATGAGGAGAGAAGCAGAGCTCTCACCCCAGTAGTGCCACTGGGGAAGGACCATAATGAGCTGTGCCATGGAACAACCTAGCAATTGACAGCATATTACTGTCATTTTTAATGACAATAATGTTAATTTTAATGTTAACATTACACTACATTACATTTAATTTTTAATGACAGTAATGTTAATTTTAATGTTAGCTCAACTTTTTTATAACTTTTTATTGAGCTTTTAAAATTTCATAAAACATTTCCCACTCAAACCCAGACCCTCTCCCCCATCCATGCCTCCCCCTATCCCCCCACCAAACCCTATGCACTCTGGTTCTGTTAAGTACTATTCATTCAGGTGTTTGTACCCAAATGTGTCCATTGGAGTCTAGTCAGCCCATCCAGTGGTCGTATATAAGTCATACTCTCTCTCACCCAGCAGCAATCAGTCTCAAATAGTTCTCAAGCGAGTGCTGGCCCACCACCTATTTCTCACCTCCCCTTTAGGCCCTTGTTTAATTGAGCTGACACGGGTCCTATGCGCCACACCACCACTGCCACAGCTCACATAAGCAAACCTCCAGTGGCCTGGAGGTTGCCACTTCCCTGTGTTCATAAACCAGCCCTGGCTCTTACAGTCCTCTGCCTTCCCTACTCTCTTGACGCTTTCTGCTTTGTCTGGCCTTCGCCTCCCCTGGCTCACTTCTCTAGGGCCGGTTCCTGGAGACTGTGCCAGGTTCTATGTACACAACATCAAAGCAGAACTTCACAGTCACTATGCAAGGTACATAAACAGCAATACCTGCTTTTACCATGAGGCAAGCACAGACTGTAAGACGGGGTAACTCAGGGTCACAAGTAGTCTTCTGGGATTTGAACACTAATTCTAATACATGCTGGTTCTCGAAGGCTTTGATCCCTCAGCCCTAAAAGTTCTATGATTTAAGATTTAAAAAATATACAGAAAGTTCTTGGTCACTGTTCTCCTTCATGCAGGGAAAGCAGAAGACGAGGTATTTACATGGCAGCGCAGCATAAAGCTGGCCTTGGCCATTTTTTCTTTCCGAATCCATTGCAGGCAGAGAACTACACACATACCAGGCAGATGTCCACAGAGACAGCCCCGGGAATGTCTACACTCAAGGGAGATTCGGCAAAACTTGCCCCTGGGCCAAGACTTAAATACATGTGGCCAACCTTACCCTTTGCTCAATGACATTTCCCAACAGTAGCATTGTTAACATAAAATAAATCCCCTGTAGATTAAATTGTGTAATCCAAATACAATCCCAAGCACCACCACCGCTTTAATGCTAGCCCCACTGTATGAAGTTGAGAGTAAGCTTCCTTGTTGCCAAGGCCAAGAAGTAAGGGACCAGAAGCTATGCTTGCTTGGCCCAGGGCTTCATGTAGCAAAGACACCCTTTGCGCCTTTCAATTTTGAAGCATGGGAGGTTGGAAGTATCACATGATATCTGTTAGGACATAATTCAGGTTTGATACTCTGACCTCAATGAAGGAAGTTTTTCCATTGTGAGTAGCCCCAGGGCACTCACTGAGTCACAGACACTTTTTTTTTTTTTTAGTATTATGGGACTACTGTTATTCTTTTGAATGTCATTCATAGCAACAATCCTAATAGCTAACATCTATTGACAAGTGCTATGTACCACATATAATGCTTTCAACCACCCTGGATTGTGTGATTGTTGTTTTCATCATATAGAAGAGGTGATGGCAGTTCCACTAGAGCATATATAGTATAAGGTGTTCATAAAGATCAGATAAATCAACACACACAGTCCTACAGTCCACTACAGTGGAGGCAGCATATACAACTAATAAAAGCAGACTCCAAAGTTAGGGCTCAAATCTCACTTCACGACTTATGATCTTGGACAAGCTATTTCATTTTTCTGTGCTTTATTTTCAGTCACTGAAATCTACAGAACCCAATACCCATTTTCTAGCACTATTTTGAAGAACACAAGTTAAGGTCCTCAGTAAAAAGAGGAATATATCAGAATTTAGAAATCTGAATTTTAGCCATCGTCTAGACAGCTGAGTTCTCTGAGCCTCATTTTCCTCGTTTGCCAGATGAGATGGTTTCACAAGGCAGTCTCTAGTAATTTCATTGGATGACGCATCCTAGCTGACAATAGGTATATTACTTATGTTTCTAAATTGTATGCTAAACCTGGTGAGGTTTGATATTCCTGTATTTTCTGGCTTGGTTGTTCAGTTGAGCTATGATGCATATAGAATATTCATTAAATCTTTTGGAATGGTTATAAGGAAATGAATCGACTGTTGATCCAACAAAAATAGCCCTGAGTTGGCTAATGCCTCTCAGATAGGTGACTGAGACAAGGTTCTAAGGTGGCGGCTCCTCTACAGTGTCAGCCCACAAAACACAGAGGAGACATGACTAGTGCTGATTTCAGTTTCCAGGATTACTATGGACTCTGGTCAGTGCCTAAGTATGACTTTTTCAACAATCTCAGCATGCAGAGGAATCAAATACGAATAGACTGTCTCTCAGGAAAGGTGCCTAAAGTAGCCCTTAGACCACCAGTGGCCTCCTCCTAGAGAAGAAACAGCTAGACATGCTGTAGGTCAACCAGATTTGCAGCTGTTACCAGAACATCTAAAATGAGACTGTGTTGTCACAGATTTGAAGTATGTGAGGAGAAGGCCATTGGCTGGCTTTGAACACAAAGGGCATTCCCTTTCTTTAGTGTTCAATCTTCTTTTGAGTCAAAGTCAGAAAGAAGAGGATGTGTAATCAAAAGAGGCTAAAGAGTACAGACGTGACTTATGCCTTGGGCACCCACAACTATGAGTGCTAGGTCTGTCATTTAAAATGCTCCAAACCTCATGTTACTACTCTGTAAAATGGGCATGATGACTCTCTTTTTGGGACTGTTGGGCATGTGTGTGTGTGTGTGTGTGTGAGTGAGAGAGAGAGATATAGAGGTGATAGAGAGTATAGAGAGTGCTGCCTCTCTCTCTCTCTCTCTCTCTCTCTCTCTCTCTCTCTCTCTCTCTCTCTGATATATAGTTGATAAAGACAGAGTAAAAAATGCTGCCTCAGGGTGCACAAGAGTATAATTCTCATTACAGAAGCCGAAAGTTATTTCAGTGTCAATCTAATCTTTTCTCAGAATGAATCACTTGAGCCACGATTGTTATACTTCTTGGAATTTTCTTTTTAGTATAAGGGCATTGATTATATGGAACATGATCCACCTATCCCCTATATTTACTGATCTCATAGAATCTGGGAGATAATTCATCATGTCCCAATGTCACAAACGTAAATGTCTTGAAGGGCCAGGCAATGGTGGCAGAGAACAAGGTCAGTGAACTAGAAAACACCTGCCTTATAAGATCTAACATTCTAATGTTTTTACAACATATTACAAAGCAAACAGCAAGACTCTGAGCTGGCTTCAGCCCACCAACTGTCAACTTACAGCCTCTAATTCTGAATACCTTCCTCATTTGTAGATGAGGACACTCAGATGCTGGGAATAGGATGGGACGTAAGACCAGCTGGTTCACTGGGTCGTTTTGTTTTCGACTTTAATTGAAGTCATAAACTGTCTTCTGATTTAGTGTAAGCTCCTATACCCAACAGAAATGATGATGCCAAATGACAGTTTCACAATATAATGTCAATACAACACTGAATGGTTTGAAGACTGATGGCTTCAATTATTGCATCTACAAGTAAGATCTCGAAATTTATGGAGAAACTGTATTCTACATGACCTCTCAGGACAATGTTCTGAATCTTTAAGATAATAAATACAGATGGCAAATAAAAGCTTTAGTTGCTGGGCATGGTGGCACACATCTTTAGTCTCGGCACTTGGGAGGCAGAGGCAGGCATACTTCTCTGAGATCAAGGTCAACCTGGTCTATATAATGAGTTCTAGGACAGCTGGGGCTACAAGGAAACCCTATCTCAAAAAAAAAAGCTATGCACTCTTTATTTATAGTAAAATTCTGAAATACTGAGGAATGTCTTTCAGTATTTCAGACATCATGCATCAGAATATTGGAGGGAGCATGTTTTAAATGTTTATTACGTTTTTCAATTATTTGTGTGTGTGCATGTGTGTGGGGGTGGTATGTGGGTATGTGTTTCAGTACATCATAGAACATGTGTGGAAGTCAGAGGATAACTCATGGAAGTCTGTTTGCTCCTTTTGTTATGTGGGTCCCAGGGATTGAACTCTGGTGGCAATCATTTTACCCACCAAGGCATCTTGCCTGCCTCAAAAGGGAGTATATTTTAATTGGACTCAGAATCAGTAAATGCCAGCCCCATCACAGTCCTGCTGGCTCTTGACTAGTGGCACAGCCTTGGACAAACCCCGTACTTCCTGATCCTAAGTTTCCTCCTTTGTTGAATGGGCAAAGAAACAACTGTGCAGCCAACTGCAGGACTGTAAGCACTCAAATAATATCCAAGCTCTGAAGTGAGTCGACATGTGCAGGACACACAGAAGGGACTGATATGACCCCTTGTCTTTCTGTCATAATCTCTTCCTTTGAAAGTTGTCAGTAATTTCTCTTACTTCATCATGTGCTCAACAGAGTTGAAATTCAAGTAGCCTCTGCCAACCTGAGTTAGTACGAAGAGAGAACAGGGCATGAGGCTGTTTCTGTGCTGCTTCTGCACACACCGCTCACCTTACAGTCACGATCTGACCTCCATCTAGGATGACACCATTCATTTGGGCTATGAAGATGGCGGCCACCGCTTCATAAAGGGCTGTACCATCCATGTTAATGGTTGCTCCAACGGGGAGGACAAATCTGGTCACACGCTTATCAATCCCTAGATTTTCTTCCAGGCAACGGAAGGTGACAGGTAAAGTTCCAGCACTAGAGAATACAGACACAGACAGAAAGACAAGCTGAGGGTTATGTCTGGTTCAGAGAGGTAGGACAAAGCACAAATCGGAAAGACAATGAAAAGCTTTATTTTTTTATTTTTGGTCATTTTTTATTTGTTATTTTTTATGTGTATGAGTGCACTGCCTGCATGTGTGTAAATGCACCCATGCCATGCAATGCCTGCGGAGGTCAGAAGACGGCATCAAATTCCCCTGGAACGGGAGTTAGGGATGGTTGTTAGCCACCATGTGGTGCTGGGAATCAAACCCAGGTCCTCTGCAAGAGCAGCCAGTGTTCTTAATCACTGTGCCATCTCTCCAGCACCCAACAATGAAAAGTTTTTGTTCTTTTCCAATCAATGTGGCATGAAAAAAAAGCAGTAACTAGGAGCAAATGAAAAACAAGTGAGTTAGTGAGTTGGAAGCTTAATTCAATCTTATTAAGAGGCCGACAGCTAACAAAATATTTTTGTTGGCCCTGGCTTCTGAGGTCTATTCAGAGTCTCCAAAGTTCTCTTTCTCCTTTGGTTGCTTTTCTGTCTTAGGTTAAATCTTGAAACACATCTGATTGTGCGTGTGAATTGGACTAAAAAAAAAAAAAAAAATCAGAAAACAATCAGCTGTCAACAAGACAAAATAGAATGAGGAATTTTCGAATGACCCAAAATTTCATGCCAGAAAAAAACTGTTCCAAGAAAATGACTACGCAGATTGTTTCCAGCCCCGTGGACTGGTCCAAATTGGGCTTACTAATTTGAAGACGACTGGACAAAGAGGTCATATACCCTTCAGCATGAATCAAGCTTTGAGCAATCCACTGGGGAAATTCACATGCAGTCAAAGTCCCTGACACATGGCCATCAGCCAATCTTAAGTCTCTACAGTGACAGACTGTGGAGTAGTCAGTCTTCATTCTCACTCCTCCCTGGCATGGGCTGGGGATTCAACCACCGTGACCCACCCTCAGAACCAAGAATCATTGACAGGCTCCTACATCTTCTAAAATAGGAGCCCTATAAGAACAAGGATTACTGAAGGCCAGAATATTATTTCCTTGTGTGTGCTGAAGCATAAGAGGTTTAGTTAGCTTTTTTCAAAATTTAAATAATGTAGAAAACACTGAAGAACAGCCAAAGAGCATGGGACTATTTTGTGGTTCGTCTTGTTTTGACTATTGTTGTCCTAGTCAAATCCTAGCAAAGTGAGCTGGAAAACCTCTGACGCAGGCAGCATTTGGAGGCATCTTCTCTCTTGTAGCTAAAGTCTCTGTCATGGTTACGGCCTTCTGCTATTTAGATTGGGGTCCTGGTCTCGGTTTCTCAGAGTGGGAGAAAGGATCAGCTTAGGGATGAGCTGACTCCAGGGTCTACTCAAGACCAATGAACCCAGAAGCCCTACAACTAGAGACACCTAAGTCTGCATCTTAAACTGGCCTAGGAGTGCCTAATAGCAACATTAAGGAAACTAGAATTATCTCACCAGAACAAGTCAGGGTTCAGCAGTGCTTCTTGTATGTCTTAGGTGGGGAAAGTAAATTAATTTGGGGGTGATTTGAAATATCTATCTCATTAGAAAGCCTTATAAACCTAGATGAAAGGTGAGGCTTGTCCTCATTTGCATACAGAGTTCCAACTGTCCCTGGCTTACTGCCTCAGATATTTGAATGAGAAATTGGTAACCTTTTATTCTTCCCACACTCTCCTCATTTCCTGGGTTGTTTCAAAGGATTTCCTGGACACCATTACTGGCCTAAAATGGCTATTCAGTCATTGCTTATAGCTGGGATCCTCAGTTGTGTGGCTCTAAGCATACTTCTGGGATCACTGAAATAGATTAATTTTTAATATTACATCATTTTTTCTAAAATGTCATCAAAGGGTCTATGAATAAAGAGATTGGGGGACTTGGAGAGAGGACTTGGGTTAGGTTCCTAGCACCCACGTGGTGGCTAACATGTTACTCCAGTTCTCCAGTTCCAGGGGATCTCACCCCTTCTTTTAACCTCTGTGGGCATTGCAGGACATGGGTGTATTTACATACATGCAGGCAATACACTCATATACATAAAATAATAAAAAAATAATAAATAAAATATTTTTTAAAAAGGATAAAGAGATGGGGGCAAAGTGTGAAAATATTCTCAATTCTCTGTTGAACAGGCTTTGTATGTATATCTTAAATGTCCACATACACCCGACAAGTCTAATTCAGGACTTGAGAATTTCAGTGCTTTCTCATACTGACAGGCTGACATTCTGGCATTGCCTCTTGGCTCCTGCTTCAAAGGTCCTATAACCATCTTCAAATGTTGCTAACAATGAAGTCAGATACTTGAGATTCTTACTTTTACAGATTTATGGCATGCACTGAAGTCAGAGACCTGGGCCACATTCTTCCATCAGTCCTCTTGATACCAGCCTCTACTCTCCAAGAACAGCCAGTCAGTCACCTTTGATGTTGTTATGGTTTAGGACTGAAATGGTCTCCACAGGCTCCTGTGTTTGACCACTCAGTCCCCCAGCTAGTGGCACTATTTTGGAAGCTTTGGAACCTTTGGGAAATAAGGCCCAGATGATGGATATAGGCCACTGGGATGGACTTTAGGGCTTACAGCCCAGCCCTCCTTCCAGTCCCACATGTGCTTCCTGTGGGTACCAGGAGAAACTACCACTGTGAGATCCCATTGTCAGGAACAGACCTGTTCTAGCTTCTATGCCTTCCCTACTACGGTGAACTCCTTCTCCTTAAATTGTGAGCCAGTATAAATCTTTCCTTCTGTAAAGAGTATTTTGCCAGGTATTTTGTTACAGTAACATTAAAAGCACTAATGCCGATCAACTCATTCAGTATTGTGAGGCAGAGGGGCATTTAGTGGGCTGTCCCTGCGCTTTGGATTTTTTCCCTTGTGGCCATTATGGCAGAGAAACTCTGAGTCAATTCTTGGGATGTGATTCCTGCCCTTTTAAGAAAAGGAAACTCCACATCCAGTAAAGCTACATTTTAAGTGAAGATTAAAACCATGAATTTTCCCCAATGAAATACAGAGTACGGAGGAGAAATGGGTCTTGTGGTCTAGCATTTGCAGCTCTATTTGGATAACTCAGGCATTTGTATTGGATTCCTTTAGGATTTATATTCTTTTAAGTTACTAGGATAATGGTATAGTTACTCAAAAGAGAATAATAATAATTTTGAAATAATTTAAGACCAAATCATAAGAAAACAAAGTAATATTTTGTAATTACGGACAGAAAAGATGTATTTTGAGAAAAATGGAATTTTCAAAGGCAAAAAAATTGTTTATAGCTTTGACTGTGTAAAATGAAAAACTTCCAAATGAAAACATTATACATTTTCAAAACAAATGCCTAAGAGGGAAGGTTATTATTTGTAATATGTGACATAAAAGTTAATATTCTTATACATAAAGAGGGTTTGAAGACCATTCAGGAAAGGGTTAGTATCCCCCCCCCCAAATGAGCAGCTCACATATAATTCAAGAGGCAAATAAAAGGGAGGAGATAGACTAAGCAACGAGAAATTAAAGGATGTTTCCTCTCCTCTGTAATCAACTACTTGCAAATATGCTGAGATGTTTTTCCACCAATAAGATTGGAATGCATCAAACTGCCAGAATACCCAGCACTGGTGAATAGGTGGAGAGGAGCATGCTCTACGACCCAGTTAGTGGGAATATTAAATAATGTACTTTTCTGAAACGCTATCTGGTGACATATTTCAACACTGTCAGTGTACAATTCATTTGACATTCAGAAATTCCAGTTGTAGAAAAGTATCCTGAGGCATCAAAGAACCTTGCACAGATGTGTGCCGCAGCCCTGGTTAACAGGCATGCTTTAAATGCACGCTGCTGGGTGCAGAGTAGGGTAGAGTTTCTATCGTCATATATACAGAATGCAGTTTACAAATAGTACCAAAGATCTCTGTCAATAGATAAGATTTTTCATATCTATTTATGAAAAATATCTACGAAAGATAAAGGTTTCCAAAGCAGTGCATATGCAAGGCAAGAAATAGAAGATTTATAACTGTAAAGATTAATTACAAGGTTTCTGTAATTCACCAATAGAACAACTATCTGGTGAGGTTCATTATCTTCCTAAAAATTTTATTCACCATCTAAACTTTGTCACAATAAACAAATACCACATTCACCATCAGATTATGGAAATAAAACTAAGTAGGGTTAACTTTCATTTAGGGGAAAAAAGGTCTATTTTTTTATTTAAAGGGGAACATCATTATTGATTACAGATATTTATCAACAGGAAATTTAAAGGACAAGGAAATAGAAGGGACATTTTGAAAAGTTTCCCTTCATTTCAGGAAACAGGGTACTAAATCTGGTCCCAAGAATTTTGTACATTTCATTTTTTTCTGAAAGCCTACATTTTACTTATACCAAATTCTGGCAGATTTCCAAGACGAAAATATAATTTGACTTCCCAGGTGGTCTGTTCCTGTCTGCTCAGGGGCCTTGGAACAGCTGCCACCCTGTGCCATCAAGGGGCCACCTCACTGGAAGGGTGCAGTCCTGGGCTCAGTTGTTAGCCTTCTTCTCTTCCTTGCTTGCTTCATTGTCTCAGTCTTGTGACAGAAGGACACATATCAGAAATAGAGCACCAGTCAGACAGAAAGAAACAAACAGCCTTGGAAATTCTAAGGCTTTAGACGCGTCTTGTATATTTCTTTTTCCTTGTTTTTGCTCCTTTCTGGCTAATTTCAGTCCAAAATTATATTCAAAACACTATTTTTTGTTGCCTCTATTTGAGGTCCTCATTGATTTCCTAGACACTAGAACCTGGGAATGAAGCAGGAACTGTCTATCAAGGTTATCAATTAAGCTTGATTTTGAAGAAAAAAAATGAAGTTAAAGTAGTATGGTTCATTAAGAGGCTCATGCTAAAGCCAAAGATTTGGCTGACTTCTGCTTGTTGGAGAAAAAAATCTCACCTACCATTTCATTTACCTTATAAAAATGTTTCTCTTGGGGCTGGAGAGCCGACTAAGCAATTAAGAGCACTTGCTGCTCTTGCAGAGGATGGGTTTGGGTTCCAGCACCCACATTAGGTGGCTCAAAAATTTGAGAGCTCCAAAACCTTTTTCTGGCCTCTGTGGGCACCAGGTACACACACAGTATACATACAAATAGATATTCACACATACACATAAAATAAAAATAAATTAACTTTTTTTTAAAAAACTTGGTTTTCCTACTTTTGGAAAAATTATTGGCCAAAACCTTAACAGTGTTGGATCAGCTAGAATTAGAGTTACAGATGGTTGTTAGCTGACATGTGGGTGCTGGGAACTGAATTCAGGTCCTCTGCAAGGGCAGCCAGTGCTCTTAACCATTGAATCATCTCTCCAGCCCCTCAACAGAGTGATGTTATATGGCATTTTCCAAATCACAGGTGGGAAGTTAACTGAACAACATCATGTTACATCCTTCTGAAAAATACTTTAAATTATGCTACATTAATGTTTCTGGTAGCTTCAGGCATGTGAATCCACAGCATGCATTCATCTAAAACTTTAATATGAGTTTGTATTTCTAGTACAATTGTATGCCAGCAAAAGTGTTCACCAGAAGTTTCAGCAATTCCTAGAAGTAGCCCCAAAATTCAGTGTTTACCTTCCAAAAATTACTTTCCTAATATGTGAAAGGTGTTCTCACTGAACTTATTATTGGGATGATGTGGGGAAATAGGAAGTGGTAAACAGAAGAAAGGAACCAAATGGATGAAGATGATTTCCTGTGTTTTCTACCTGGAAGCAGTTCCCAAGGCAGTGATCCAAGCTTGGAAAATACCAGCAAAAAAGGAGAATGGGTTTTTTCTGGTCACTGCAAAATAAATCAAGGGGAGAAAGATGCCTCCATGGATGATGAGGCCCACGATCACTGTGACCATGTACATCCCCAGTTGTCTAGCAACCACTTCTAAGTCCTTGATGGCAATAATCTTCCCACAGATCAGGCAGGCGATACCCAGGGGAGAGTACCTGAAAAACACAAGAAAAAAGAGCATTGAAAACATCTGTATGGGATTAGAACCTCCCACCAAGGCACTGCACCTCTAGGGGGACGCCTCCTCTTCTTTTGATTTAGTCCTCCCCCTCCTACCACGCCCCCATACACAAATACAAAGAGTTCTGCTGTGAAAGGGGGGTCATGAGATTTGATACTTTGGATTAACTGCCTTAACTGAAATCTCGTTTATGGCCCTAGTGACGCATGCTCTGATAAAAAGTCCAAAGGCAACCTTACTTCTAAGGTGAATTTTAGGAACACAGGGGGCATGCTTTATCATGTGTTAGCCTTACTGTCTTTCTGGTAACCCCCAAGTTAAAAGTTGAGAGCCCCAGATTGCATCTCTAGAATCTTGTTTGGCTTTCTTGATTTTCGATTCCTTCCTAGTATTCTGGAAATAACTTCCAAAACTTTTCGGAAATGAATAAACTGGGATTTATAAATGTGCATTGTTTTTACCTTGGAGGATAGATAATATTATTTAAATGGCAGAGGAAGTGGGAGAAACACAGGGAAAGAAAACAAGAGAGGGAGGTGCCAAAACAAAAAATATCTGAGCCAAATATCCTATTTAGAAAAGTGTAGTTTTATAACTTCTAAGCATAAAAATATTTTTACTCTAACATAGCAGTGATGTTGGCTACCATTCAGTGTTTCAAGCAGTATGGTAGGAACTGCTGTCCCGGAGCCTGGCTTGCTTCTTACAACAACACTAAAATCAAGACATCTTTATTCTTATTCAGTAAATGAGAAAACCATAGTTTGAAAATGTTCAATAACCAGTCCAAGACAACAAAGCCAGGAAATAAGATAACCATTTATACTTCGTGAAATCCCAGAAGTAGGGGATTTTCCCTACCAAAACTAAGTCTCTTCCCTTCAGTGAGCCATCTTAGCTCCCTGTAAGCAAGCCAACAGTTCCCCAGATACTGATTCATCCCATATTGACATTTGTATGCTGTCATTATTTTATAGAGAGCTTGGAAACTATTCTGTTCCCTCTCATGGGAAAACTGTCTTCTCTGTCATCTTGACTTCACTCTTTGCATGTCTGGGAACATTATTATCATTATTATCCAATGAGGTATTGCTATGGCATGAATTTGTTCACCCAGTGACAGTTTCTGACTGAAATGAAAATATTGGTGGGCAGATCAATACCTTATTAAAAGTTAGAGACATGTTTGTGAGAACAACTATGGAGAAAATAAGGTCCCTACATAGGGGTTCCCAACAGAGGTGGAGGAGTAGAGGAGTGCCTAAACAGACCTTATCTCCCAGTGTGCCTAGACCCAGTTCTGGGTTAAAGAAAGGATGTGGAGAACAGGTAAGCTTCTAAGTACAGCAGACACTAGCTTGTCCAGTCATGTACCATCTACAGGACCTCGTTCAGTGACCTATTTCCATTTTCAGACACGAATATCAAAGCTTAGAGAAACTGACTCCATCTTTACTAGGTGGCCATGAGGAGCAAACTTCTGCACATGTACACTTGTGCACTGCTAAATATCTCTCCCCATCAGCTAGTACCATTAGTTCTCTGACTTCCACAAGGAATTCCTTTTAGGTTCTGTTTTCACATATCTATGTCCCATGTTGCCTTCTGATCCATGTTTAATTATCTAAGTCTGAGCTACTGAGGTTTTCTAAAACATTTCACAGGCTACCCAATAGCAGATGGTTTTATGAGCAAAATATTTTCTCAAGAGAAACCTTGTTCTGAAAGAGATGCTTTGTATATGACAGTAAGGCTTAAAATATTAACACAGCTCTGCTCTTCCCCATAGAGTTTAAAGCCTCACCCTCACTTGCCTTTTTCCTGGGGGTTCAAGATGGCCATGTTTGAGAACTGCTTTTCTAGATATCAGCCAGTCTTAAACAAGCCTCTGTCATGTCATTAAATCCAATCTTTCTTGTCATTTTATACAGCCATGTGGTCGTAGGGGCCAGCACTTTGTCACCAAGAGTATAAATAACTGAATAGAATGCACCTTCCTATAAAGCCCCAAAGGATTTATCTTCCTAAACCAAGAGATCAATTGTTTCCCAAACATCCATTACAGATGGTGTCCAGAAAAATGCACTCTCCCTGGAGAGTGCATTTGAGCCAGACCCAAATGAACTAGAGAGAGGCAAGAGCACATCTCAGAAGCATATAGTTATAGGGCGGGGGTTGGTGGACGCACCGGCTCCCATGGTAAATATTGTTAAAGGCTACAGGAGGAAGGATAAGAGTTAGGAAATGAGGAATGCAGGAACCCTACTACTCCAAACACTTTGGTCTCCATGGCCAGTAAGAGTATTAAAAGAGCTTTTGTTCTATGATTTAGAACCATTACTTCCCTGTACCTGTTTTAAATTCAAGGAACAAGTCACCACTCAAAACCTGGGCCTTCTGAGTTCCTGTGCTTCCATATCAACATATTATTTCATTGAAAATGAGATTCCATGGAAAAGAAACAGAAAAATGCCCTGAGTCCAAGCTTACCACTCGAAACCTCTGAGGTCAAGCAAATAATCAAGCCCACAATCTATGTGCCTATAGAAGCTGTTGACTCCGATCAAGAGTTGTGAAGCCAAGTGACACACAGTAATTGCTGAGCCCATTTCCAATTCAAAAGGACACAATCACCAGCCTAGAAGCAGGGACTGTCTCCATGCAATCTGCAGGTAGGTTATATTCTCAGTTCTGTGCCTGTTTACAAGACCACTATTCACATAGGACTGGCTAGCATAAGTCTTTTTCTTACTTATGTACCATCCATTCAAGCCTCCCCCGACTGTGAACCTCAGCTCTTGTTAGCCTAAGGGTTCCACCAAGATGTCCCTTGCAGAGCTACACTCTGTTCCACAATCACAACCTCATCCACAGCACTCAACCTACCCAGAACTCAATTGATGTCTGTGCATCCATGACCAACTGCGTCAGAATGCTCTGAGCTGCCTCCAATCAAGGTGTGTGCCCTAGGCTCCCACCAGAGGCTGATCATGGGACTTTTATATTGTAAATATGCTCCCCAGGTAATTGTGATGTATGTCTGCAAATCAATACTTCATAAACAAACTTCTCATTTGCAAATTATGAAATGTAGGTTAGCCTTTGGAAACCATTTTCCTTAGTTCTAATTTATTAAAGACCAATGAGGTCCTAAGTGATTAATTTGAGACTTTCAGTCATTATATCATGTCTTTATCAGCACATAATGGACTATCTATTGAGTGAAAGAACATGTGTTGAAAAAGATTCTTTGTTTGATCAAACATTAGTGTGATTCCTCAATCTTCTAAGCCCTGTCTGTCTACTTCCTTATAAAATCATTTCAGGAAACAACCTTGCTTAGTCAGTTTAGCAAGAATCCCCAATTTCTATGTGTGGCCACCATCTGTGTCTGCTCAGGTTCTTTACCATCTCCCTAGTGGTATCTAATCATCCTGACCTGGCTTTAAGAAAAACCCAGCTAGGTTGGTTCAGCCAGAATCCCTGTGACTCCTGATGTGGCCTCTACCCTGCTCCTTGGTTATAAATTCCCACCTTCCTAGTGTGTTTGGATTTGAGCTCAGGCCCTCTCTATCACTGCAAAAGCTCATCACCCTGCTCCCTGTGCTCTTTGAGACAGTCCTGCAGAAAGCCTTCCTTACTTGAACAAGCACTGTTGAATAATTTTTGCTTTGCAGTGTGGAAGGACAGTGGCCAACTGGCAGAAAGAAAGGAAGGGCAGAGGGAAACTTTACTTCTTACTTTATGCTTTTTAAATAGGAAAACTATGAAATGTTTTACTTTCTATTTAGCTACTTCAGACTTTGAAAAAAGTTTTAAAGAATTTGAAAAAAACAGGATATGAATATCACATAAAAATATGGGGATTTCAGGGATCTAAAAGAATCAATGGGCAGGAGATACAGGAGATGGCGATTGATCTGATGATAATAATAGCTGCAATGGAATAACTATAGTACCAATTCACGTAAATGCAGATGTCCTTCTGGACACAGAAAATGTACCATAACTAGAGTCACTGTTACTGTCTTGCTTAATTCTCAGTCAGGAGCCACGTCTTTAAAGTTCCTCAGCACTGAGCAAGTTAACTTCTGTGCTTAGTTTTCGCATCTGGAAGAGGGGCTACTCAAAGCATCTATTTTGTGAGGCATTATTAGGAAAAATAAGTGTGAACTTGTAAAGTTACTAGCATATTGAAAAAATTGATTATGTTTTAAATCATAATCTCTTTAATAAATTATATAGTAATGTTAGAGTAGCAAATAGCCCCATGTGTTTAACTAGTCAAGACTATAAAATCCCTAGTCTGTGTTGAAAGACCCACCTTTCCAGCTTCACTAGTCAATCACCTAGTCATAGGACCACCCCAGGAAGGCAGGGCCACCTTAAGCCATGCTAAATACATGAGTGAATACTTAGTGTTTTAATAAGACAGTGAACTTCTCCTCCCTGGAATCCCACCTCCCAGTACTGTGTTTCTGGAACCAGCGACAGACGTGTAGGTCTCTGTAAGTCTGTCTGCTTTTCTGAATTCTTCAGAAAAGTGTAATCTTGACTTTCCTTCTTCATATCCCTTTTCTAAACATGCTTTCTCTGTGCTTTGGACTGCCCTAGCATCTTGTGTTTCTTTATTTGTTTCTCTAAAGCTTCCTTCTCCCAGCCATGTGTCTGCCAGTCAGTCACATATCTGACCTCCATGCAGGTTCTAAACCTGCATGGCTTTGTGGCTTTCTTTCCTTCTCCCCTCCATTCTCCTCTTTAAGGCAACTATCAAGATTACCAGCTCACCTGCCCTGAGGTTTTTCCTTCGAATTCTAATAAAGTTGTAAAAGCTTCCATTTGGGTCCATTCTTAAATTCTTTTATGAATGTGACTAAGAACTCTCTAGGGGAAGTTCTTTCTTCCCATTTCAATAATTGAAATGGAGCCTATAGTAAAACACAATTCCAATTTACAATTTAATAATCATAATTTTTAATCCTGGCATGGAGGTATACACCTATAATCCCAGTACTCAGGAGACAGAAGCAGGAGGATCAATTCAAGGTCATCCTTGACTACAGTGTGAGTTCGAACCAGCCTGGGTTATACGAGAACCTGCCTTAAGAGTTTTCTTAAGGAAAATTGGTAATACACATTTTTATTGTCTTCTCGGGGCTGTATGTTGCTATTTTTACTATTCTTTCTACTCTATAAAGAATATAGAACTCTGATGGTTTCAGCTTTCAGTAGTCTGCTTGCTGAAGAGTGACTGGCGATTTTATCCAGAATCTTCTCACACTCCTCATCATCAAATGGTGATGCTGATGAGCAGCTTGAAGAATGATAGGAATGTGCCTTGTGTCATAAACATAAACATCCCTAAACACCCTGAGTGCCTGGATGACATAAGAGAAATCTGGAAGCAATCATCCTTTAGGATTGGTTTCTGACTCACAACTGCACTTCATCTCCTGGGATGAGATGCTGAGCCTTTAACAGTACAGGTTTCACTGAGTGGGAAACTTCCTAATCCACACCCTCCATTCCAATGCTCCATCAGCTTCCCTAGAAGATCCTCTTTTCCTCCAAGGACTCAGTAGAAATGCCCTGAGTATGGTTGAAGGAAAAAATGTATGCATCACCCATGCCAGTTGCATCATATTCAGAAACATGAACTGTACCTTTATAGCAAGGATGTACATTCTGCTAGAAGTTCTAGGGAACAAGAGCAAGTCCTGCTGTTTAAGTGAGAGACTGATTCTGCTTTCTGCACTTACTAAGCCCTCAGAAGACTCAGATGGATCTACAGAACTTAAAGAATACTTGGCTTGACAGGCTCATGCCATCTTAAGACCACACAAAAGGGAGCTAGAGAGATGGCTCAGGGGTTAATAACACTGGCTGCTCTTGCCGCGGACCTGAGTTTGATTCCCGGCACTCATATAGTAGCTAACAAGCCTATAACTTCAGTTCCAGGGGATCTGACACCCTCTTCTCAACTCCACAGGCATTGCATGACATGGGTATACTTACACACATGCAGGCAATACACTCATATACACAATAAAAATAAAATATCTTTTACAAAAAGATCACACAAAAGAAATATTCAGAAATCTAGCACTACCTGGGAAACTGAAAATTCAGCACCGTAACAGAAAAGAACATACTACTTTACTAATATCCCCTTTGCATTTTCAAAGTACTGTGAGGTAACACGGTGAACATGCCAGGTCTAATACTTTGGCCCATGAAACCCTGAGGAACATTTTGACATGAAACCTGGAAGCCCTCAGTCAACCTCACATTCATAAAGTTGTAATAAGAAGCAACCATGGACACATCACTACGTTTGGTTCTGTGGCGGTAACGTAAATTTCATATAATTTTCATGCTATGGAATACTATTACCCCTTTGGTTTTCTTTTGCTTTGTTTTATTCACTTAGTCATTGCAATGGACTGAATATACATGTCTCCCTCCCAAGTCAAAGTGTTTAAGTTCCAACACTGGATGTGTAGAGGTGAGGCCTTCAGAGGTGATTCAGTGGATGAGATTAGTGTCTGCTGAAGTTTGGGTGTTTATGTCCCCCCAACTCAATTCCTGTGAATTTTTAACCTCAGTACAAGAGCTTGGAAGATAGGCCACTTGGAGGTGAGTCTTCTTCAATGGTGTGAGTGTCTTTCTATAAGAGGCTTGGGGAGGCCTACTTGTTCCTTCCACCATGTGAGGACACGAGAGCATCAACTATGAGCAATAGCTCCTCACCAGACGCCAAATCTGTTAATGTCTTGAATTTGTACTTCCCAGTCATCCGAACTGTGAGCAAAAAATAAATTTCCTTTGTTTATAATTTTACCTAGCCTATAGTATGTTGTTATAGTGGCAGAAACAGACTGAAATAGTGATCCATAGGAGAGATCCCAGGATGCGTTCACTCTTTGGAAACTCTTTTGTATCTAGATGAGGATATAGAAGTTGTTCATTTACAACCCCAAAAATATCCTTACCAGAATTTGATTGCACTGATACCTTGATCTCAGACTCCCAGTCTCCCAAAATGAGAGGAATAAATTTCTGCTGTGTATAAGTTATCTAGTCTATGGCACTTTGTTTTAGTACCTTGAACTGAGACAGACATATCAAATTCATTTCCAAAGAACACAGAATTAGGTGATGCATCAGATCTGGCTTGATGGCCATCATCTGCAGGGGTAGATGAAGGGGAGGGAGGATTTCTATCCCTTTTTCAATACCTTTCCAGTCCACACCCATGCTTTTCCTGCTGGGAGGCCTCCATTGTCCTCTAGAGACCCCAAGGTTTTGTCATCCCCCCCCATGATGGCATCAGAACAAGTATACTCACCACATGATCATGATTACAAGCTTCATCACGATCTCATTCAAAATGTTGAAGAAGTCCACCATCAGCTTGGCCTGCTCGCCCATCTTCCCCATGGCGATGCCAAAGGCAATGAAGAACCCTATCAGACCTGTTGGGTGAATGACATTACTCAGAAGGACGAATGATAAAGTCCGTGCTGTTTTCCCTTATACTGAGGCACTACTGATGTATGGAGCCACATATCCTTCCAGTTACCTTATGGATAAATCAGGAATGAGAAGGCAAAAACATTCTATTTCACACTGGAAGTTTTCTCCACTGGATAATTATGGCTTTCTTTGACATTTTCCACATGAGCAGGTTAAATTCTAAATAGTTTATGTGTTAGTTCATTGAAGAAAATGAATTAATTTTCATTTCAAAATTAAGTATGCCATCTTCTCTTCCTTCTCACTTATGAAATCATGTGTGAACCGATGATCCTATTATCACACAGACTAGGGAAGAAGAGCTTGTTGGGATTTGAGGACTGTCATGCCAACTTTGGAGCCAAAGCTGAAACACCAGAGACCAACTAGCCAATAAAGTCCTTGCTATGGAAATGACTAGATTATTTTGGCATTATCCTGAATTAATATATGGCTGGTATCGTTCCTCTTGGAAACCCCTCCTTGCAAATAATTTTCCTACCAATATGGGGCTAACACAAGAAAGAGGAAGAATGTTAAAATGGAAAACAATCAGAAATCCCAAACTCCAATTAGTTTACTTTGTTTGAACCCTACCTGTTATTTATATTTAATGTTTCCTAACTCTCTTTATGAACAAAATGGTATATTGCCTTCTTTTGTTCATTTGCCTTTGGACCATAGAGGAAGAATGCACATTTCCCCGTCAGATTTTGTAAATATCTACCCTCTCTGCCTACTTCTGCCTTCTCTTGACATTCTAGTTCAACCACACACTAGCCTCCGGGGTCAGTCCTAACCCTAGGCAGGAAGGATTTGAGAAACCTGGTCTCCACCCTCTTGATGCTAGCATCAAATTTCACTAAGCCCTGGATCAAGTCCAGCACTCAACCCTGGATCTTATTTGGGTGTTAGCTTTTGCCTCATCACCTGTGCCTAAGGTCCTGGAAACCTGACCTGTACTTTCACTCTTGCAAGGTTAAGCCTGGCTTTCTCTTTCCAGAAGATTCACTTCCCACCATCCTCCCTCTCATATCTCACCTCAACCCAATCAGGGACTTAGGCATACTATGTAGCTAACAGTAGTCTCAGCACTACTTGGAGACTGTCTAGATTTCTGATTACCAATCACCATGTGATTCTGAACCCCTGACTCATCCTTCCCAGGACAGGGACAAACCTGACTACTTACATGAATTCTAAGTCGGGATGGGTATTTCCCTGGCTACAGAACTTTGCTTGTCTACCTGGGCTTATTCTTTTACCCTGTAGTGTAGGCCTCTCCCTCTCTGTCTTCCCCTCTCCCTCCCTCCTCTTCCCTACTCTCTGTCCCAGTTTGGTAGACCTAATTTCCAGTCTTTCCTTATTTTATCCAGTTTCTTCTTATTCCCAGTTTTGCCTGTGTCTTGACCTGTATCGTAAATTATAACATTATAAGTTGATTCTCTTAAAAGTACATGCCTTCTCTCTGAACTTATGATGTTATTTACCCTCATTCTAGTCCCCAAAGCCACTCTCTTCTCTATGCCAAACATTTGTCAACCCAGTTTGCTAATTGTACTTTGTGGGATGCCTTCTCTCTTTAGAGAAGATAATCTGGGTTCAATTGATAATATTTATAATTTAATATCTCCTTTCTTAGCTCTTCGTCAGAAAGTTTGATAAGTGACTTCACAAGTGAGTTGGGCCGATGGCCCAAGAGAGATTTGGCTTAGTGAAGACTAGATGTAGAAAGGAGTGGGCTAATTTTACAGTAATATAAAACATGCGTTTCTAGCTATTCCTTCATCCTTCTCTCAAAGCTATGGAGAGAAGTTTGTTGGGTATGGTGACAAATAGTCCATCTGTGAGCACTCTGCCTCAGAAACATGAATATTAGTTAATGCCATTTGCTAATGCACAAAATCTTAAGGTCTCAAAGAAACAGAATAAAATACTCCCCTAGGAGAGATCCAGGCATGGGCCATATCTATGAATCTAAAAAGGATATTTTTTTTTTTTTTTTTAAGAGCAATTGACCCTGATTTAAGTAATGTTGGGTATGGTGACAAATAGTCCATCTGTGAGCACTCTGCCTCAGAAACATGAATATTAGTTAATGCCATTTGCTAATGCACAAAATCTTAAGGTCTCAAAGAAACAGAATAAAATACTCCCCTAGGAGAGATCCAGGCATGGGCCATATCTATGAATCTAAAAAGGATATTTTTTTTTTTTTTTTTAAGAGCAATTGACACTGATTTAAGTAATTCCAACTAGGGTGGGGCCAAAACTTGGTTCTGGCATGCTATTTCCTTGGCTTTGGAGACAGGTCTTGCTCTGTAACCCTGGCTGGCCTTGACTTTGCCCTCTTTTCTCTCAACCTTTTGAGTGCTAGAATCGTCAGTGTATACTATCATACCCTGTAGCTCTGAAGGTTTCTTAGGTGAGAAACAGGCCCTTAAAGAAGTGAAAGGCAAAGTTAGCACTGCGTTTTCATTCCTTGCAGGCTCAATCTTGGGACTTTCCAAAAACCAAAGAGCAGAAATACAGAAAAACAAAACAAAGCTAGGCCACTATCTCTGCCCTTGCAAGACCATGGAAAGAACCTTACTTCAGCTGTGACTGGCAAATGGGAAGTTTCTCAGCAATCTAACTTCCCTTGGCTTTGTACAGCCTTGTGCTGTGCTTGGTTGGAACGCTGCAGTCAGCCTGCCATTTCCCTCAGTAAACATTGCCTAATTGAAATTGCTCACTGAAACCGCGGTGTTTCACTTGAACAAAGCCCTCTAAGACTTGGTAGTTGGAGTTGAGAGAGTTGCCAGTGTGTTGAAATTCCTCGGCAAGGCTGAAGGTCATGTGACTTTCCAGAATCCACCAGGACTCTGGAAATGACCTGGAAAGTCTGAATAATTCACTCCAAACTCTTGTCCTGGTTTATCAACAGTCTCCCCAGTGGACAGGGGGAGGGGGCACAACACCTTGTCAAGGAGGGTGGGATCTAAACTTATCACCCATCAGAAGGGGCTGTGGGGAATTGAGAAGGTCCTGAAAGGGTCACAGATATCTTTGCGGTGGGAGAAAAATGCTGCTTCCCAGCATTTTTATATCTGGCAATCTTCTCAAAGAGACTCTCCCACTTTCCCCTCCCTCCAACTACCTCTGGCCTCCCACCAATTGTCAACTACGTTTATTGATTACCCATTCTCTGGCAACCTAGTCAGCTTATCACCTCCCTCACTCTCATTTAACCTGCCAGGCCAAACATAAAAGATCTACTTCAGCTAGCCATGCAGTGACTGGACTGTCCTGCTCCTCTATCGCCCTCTCTCTACAATATAGTTGAGGAAGAAGAAGTACAGCCACCAAACACAGAATAAAAATCAAACAGTGCTCCCAATCACAATCTGAATTTCACATGCATAATGAATCTGGTAGTATAGCCCATGCACTTGGGACATACTTACACTAAAGTATTATTTGTTATTTATTCTAAAATGTATCTGATAGCAAGACCAAAGAGACAAGGGTATTTGATCACTGAGATGACAAAGGGACAGGACCACTGAGCTCATCTATCTCTAAACAGTTATTACCCAAGTCCTTATAAATGGTGCTTGGAAGATCTTACTTACAAATCCATTTTCCCCATCTTATAAACAAACACCCCTCTTTTATGCCATTCTAGTGGAGAATGGGGGGAATGGAGGGGAAGGAATGGACCCACCCTAAAGTGACTGAGTGGAGAATGGATGAGGCAGATCAGAGCCAATGCTATGAGGGAAATCTCATTCCATGTGGGCTGTTTTATCACTGAGATCCTCAGCTGTTCATCTGCTTTAATAATGACCATAGCTTGTCTGAGCAGAGCTCACGACATGTGCTCTTGTGGTATATCTGCACAATCTCACTTCGTCTTCACATTGCTCTATAAAACCTATGCTAATACCATCTATACTTTACTACTGAGGTTAAGAGAAGTTGAAGAACTTGCCCAAGGACAGATAGCCAATGACTGGTCCCCAAAGGCTCCAAACCTAGAGAACCTCTGGGATGGAATACTCAGATGGCATAGTCATGAGGATGAGATGGCACAGGCTTGAGCAGAGAGATCACTAGAAACCCAGAAAGTTAAACATAATAATTGATAATGCTTCTTTGGACCCTAATCTGAAAACTTACAATACTTGTTTATAGCCTGGGAGCTGGAATAGGACAGGCAGCATAGTGTTGGTACACAGGGACAGTTAAAAGAAATAATAAATGAAAAATAAGGATATCTCACTTAACAAAATGGTGAGTCAGATTAGGTGACATCAACACCGCACAGAGTTAAGGAACATGCCAGACAAATGTCAGCCCCCTCCTCTCTGCCTATCCTCAATCTCTGGCCACTATGTCCTTCAGGGTCTCCCTTCTGCCCATCACCCTTCCCTCTTCCTTCATGACTCAGCTCCAGGTGTCATTGACCTTCATTCACATCACTCCCCAGAGAGAGTCTCCTGCGCCACCTAGAGGACAGAAGGAGTATTAGTTTTTCTGAGGCGAAAGCTTGGGAGGCCCGGAGAAGGCATCTGCAAAGGCTGGCTACTGTCAGCAGGACAGAGGTATCTCCCTGGGGCAATGAACACGAACAACCAGTTTGCCTACCTAAGACATTCATTCCGTCCTTGAATTCCAGGCCCTTCTTGATAACCAGCTTAGTTTCTTCAGGGGCCTCAGTCACAGTCTCATTCAACATGGAGATAACAGCCTTGGTGGTATTGGCCTCCTCTGACTGAGGTGACACAAGGACTTTCTTTGTCACTGTCTGAATCTAATGGAGTGGGGAGGAAAAAAGTAGAAAAATGAGTTTTTGTTTAAAAGTTCACAAACCCACCCCCTCACATAATAAGTTCTCCTTATGTTAACTTTAATTAGGAAATGAAAAAAAAAAAAAAACCAAGATTAATGATACAACTGTGCTATCCATAAGATAATTACAGAATTCATAAAATTCATTGTACTGTACCACAGTAGTGCAGTCTAATAATGGATACAAGCTAAAGGTGGACATATGTGTCTATGTATTTCATTCCCATGATAGTGTCTCTGTGCTTAGGGGATAATTCCATGTGACCAACTTGGATGCTCTTCAAAATGCCAGCTAGATGGCCCTCCTTTCCTGCTGGACAGAGTCCTCACAAGCCTGCCCATGGTCTTGACTCCTTTCAAAACCATGCTCTTCTGGGAATCTTCATCTGGGCATCAGGACTGACAGCTGCCAACAGCCATCAATCATTCCAGGAGCATGTAAATGACATGTAAAGTGGGAAAGTACTCATCCCTTTTGAGCAATGATATCAACTAACTCTTGCCTAATAATCTCCAAGCATCTCTTCAGCTATTCCTCGATATCCGTGGAAGTGGTTCTAATTTTAAAAGTGTCAGGCACCCTGCATGTGAAAATTCACATCTCAGCCTCAAAAAGTACCACCTCCAAGGGCATTAAAATAGAATTCATTCAAAATCCTAGACTGTCAGCACTGGCATGCAGAAGGTGACAGATGGTTGAACCCTGAATAGATACGGAAGAGGATGCATAGAGAAGTGAACTGACTTTCAGACGTCATAGTTGTTGGCAGAGCTGGAACTTCAACTCAGATGGCCTGACCACCCATGAGTTCTTTCTACAACCTGCACCGTATGCTCAGCTATGCAGAGCTCATCCTTCTGCAGCAGGGCTCGACAGTCAGCAAGGCTGGACTGAGCGGAATGACAACAGTAGGAAAGAAGGAAGGGCAGCCTTCTCTGAGGGAAACGGGTACCTTCCATGTTAGCCTGGCCACCTGCACTTGTTCAGGGAGTGAGGAGACCCTGGGCTGACTCTGCAAAGAGAAGAGGCAGCTTACTGGGTCTGGGCAATAGTAGCATGGAAAGAAAACACAGGAGTGACCAGAAGGGAAACTTCTGGAAACAGTAGTTATGTTCCCAGAGAAGAAAGCTAATGGCTTATCCTGAGACTCGTGAGATAGCCAAAGCTTGAATTAATCAGAATAATGGTCATGGTGATGATGGTAATTTTCGGGATCAGGTAGGAGGCAAGCTGCTAACAGTTTTATATCTAATATATCTTTTAACTAACCAAAGGCCTGATTCCTAGTTAGTTGCTGAAGCAAGATTCAAAATGAATTATGTTTGACTCTAAAATCTAGCTTCCGGAGAGCTCGGGTCACAAGTTTCCATTGGAGCTGAGGAAACTTGCATATTGGTATACTGGCCAAGTCCTCTGCCTGGGGTCCTGGCTCACAGAGCCTCTTTGGGTTGGACCAGTCCACTCTAGGTCACCTGAATCCAACTCACCAGCATCCCTCACCTGAAACCCTGCAGACATCTTCTAATTCACCTACCCACCATCTTACATGCCTGCCTTCTTCAGGCAGTTGTGACTGCCTGCAGCTCTGTCTATATCCATGGTCTCTACAGTTATTTTTCAATAGAAACCAGCCATCTCTCAAGTCTTCTTAAAATAAGAGCCCAAATTTGACCTGGGCCTACCAGTGACTGCTTGAGCTGACTTCTGCCTTCCTCCATGTCACAGACAGTTACTGTTTTGGAAACCTTATCTCAGCTATTCCTAAGCAACAGGCTGGAGGCCTCCCTGCTTTCAAAGATGTAGGGCCTGATTTGAGCAAGCCTTGGGTAAGGTTGCTTTCACCACTCTGAAGGCAGTTCCCCTCTTCTTTACGTCTGCTTCTAGCTCTGGTCAGAAAGCTCCCTCTACTCAAGACAGGCCATTTTAAAAGATTGCCTGCCAAGCTGCAGGGACATAGAAGGGACCCTGGCACTTCCCACCCTCTCTGGTACTCTGTGAAGATGGTCTTCACTACTCAAGGCCCTCTGAGTTAGGGTGAGGATCTACACCCATCCTCACCTTGAGGTAAAGGATTCTACACTATTATTCCTCTGATTGCCCTTGGCAACCAAGGTTCAGTTGCCATAGGAGGGGCAGGATTTTGGCAGAGGCAGGGTGATTCTGATATAGTTCTCCATTGCCCAGGGTTACAGAGAGTACTCTGCCACGGGGCAAAGTTGGCCACCAGTCAAGAAGTCCCCAGGTGTGGAAATGACCAATACTACAGAAGCTCAGTCCAAGATCAGAATGTCAGCTTTTTGGTCTTGCTTTCCAGGCTGAAATGAAGGAATCTGAACAGGTGTGACTAGGCACAGGCAGGAGACCCACATCTGTCTTTCCTGGGATCACCCATATTTCTCCACCTGCTATTTCCTGGCTCATTTTCCAACAGCTCTTGAGCACTCTTTCCAAAATGTTATGGAGAGACTTGCTAGACACTTGTGTCCAAAGCAAGCAACTTCATCCTTCTAGGCGAGGCAGGCAAGTACGTGAACAGAGGGTCCTCAGTAAGCACCCCTCCTCCAGCCCCCTTCTAGTCACTTCTCATCTTCCCTTCCTTGCATCCACATTGACTTCCTTATAATATTTATGGCATATAATGTGATGTTTCCACACATGCATCCACTGTAATAATCAAATTAGTTTAATGAGTAGATCTATCATTTAAAATTTCCATCATTTCTTTATAAAACAGTATTTAAAAATCAGATGTTAAATCTGTAGTGAAATGCTTCTTCTAATCATGTAGTTATTAAAAAATTTTTAAATAATGATAAAAAAATCAGATAACATATCCAAGCCTAAAGTGATCTGGACTCAATAGGGTTTGGCAATTACATTTTGAGGGCTGTGAATCCAAACTTTGTTCTAAGCTGTGTGCCTCCTAAGTTCATTATTTTGTGACTCCCCGCAATGCCTGATGGAGGTTCATGGGCTCCAACTGGGGCTTTTCCTGAACTAGTGGGGACTGAGGTGTATGCTCACCTAAGCCAGCCTTGTCAACAGAAAACAGGGCAGTGAGTCTGGCCAAGGCTGGTGACACAGAGGTTCTACTCAGCAGAATTATCTGTTTTTAAAAGCTGTGTGTGTGTGTGTGTGTGTGTGTGTGTGTGTGTGTATGTGTGTGTGTGTATGGCTGTGCATGCATGTGTATTCAAGTGCATGTGGAGGCCAAAGGTCAATGTCAGTATCTTCCTCAGTCTCTCTCCACCTTTTTAAATTTTTTTTATTTTTGAGAATTTCATACATGAGTACTGTCTTTGCATTATTTCCATCCCTCCTAGACCCCCACCAGCTTTTCCCATGTCCCAAACTCCCTCTCAGGTTCTTGTCCTCTTCTTCTTTGATTATTGTTGTTACATATACATACATACATGTATATATATATGTATATCATGTATACCCGTGTTTAGGGCTGTCCATTTGGGATCAGATAACCTCTCAGGGAGCTAGTCCCTGGAGAAATCTTATTCTCCCTCCCTCAGCATCCACTGATTGCCTGTAGCTCTTCATCTTGAGGTGGGACCCCATGGCATCCCCCCATCTGTTCTAGATATGATAGGGAAGCTGCACCAATGAAATCTCTATAATATGGCAGCTTAATAAGATCTGCATAATAACAAATCCACCTTATATTTTGAGACAGGGTCTCTCAGTGAACCTGGAACTTGCAGATTTAGCTACACTGGCTGGTCAGCAAACCTCAGGGGTCTTCCTGTATCTTCCTCCCCAGTTCAAGAATTATAGGTACACACTGTTTAAACAATTGTAAAAATTACACTCAAAGCCCGGCATGGTGCCAGACACCTTTAATCCCAGTACTCAGGAGGCAAAGGCAGAGGCAGGTGGATCTCTGCAAAATAGAGGCCAACCTGATCTACATAGCAAGTTCCAGGCCAACTGGGGCTACGGGGAGACCTTGTTTCAAAAAACCAAAATAAACAAATAAAAAAGTAAACTCAGTCCCCCGTTTTATCTTGGAGAGAGATTATAGATCTGATTTTGTAGGGAGGCTAAGTCTATTTTTTTTTAAGAACTACACCGAGTTTTGCCATACTGTTAAGACTGAGAACCACTAGTTGTGCTTCACTAGTGTTGTGAATAAGACTGGTAAAAATGTGCCAATGGGCAACTCAGAGACAGGGACAAGAAGTAAAGCAGAGAGGAAGGGAAAACAGGAAAGGAGAATCTCAAATCCACAAGATAGTAAGAGAGTAAGAAAAAAGGAAGGTTTAAAATTAGAGCATACAACTCTGGACCTATGATCCTTCCCCAACCACCTAATACCACCCTTGAGACCAGACAGGGATAAACAAAGATTAAGAAAATTGCCATTCATGGTGGATATTGCCTCTGTTATCATCAATAAGATACAAGATTGGAGAAGAAAAGACCTTGGAACTTTGGCTTACCTGTTGGAAACAGGCTTGGACCAGGTTTTCTGGGAAGAGATTTCTAATGAGATCGAGGAAGGCATCCAGGCTAGACACTTCATCGTTTTTCTTCCCAGGCCCCAGCTGCTTCTTGAGTTTGGGGTTGCCAGGGTGAATGGCCAAGACGAGGATGACCCCCAGCACGGCAGCGATGATGGTTGTTGACATGTAATACACCATGGCTCTCGTACCTAAACGGCCGCTGGCTTTAGCATCCAGGCCTGACAGCCCTAGGTTTAAGAGAAATTCAGAATGATCAGTTCTGTTCTGTCAATGCCTCTGCAACCCAGCTTCCTATCACTAAGAAACATTAATGCTCAACTAACCCTCCTCCTACTAAGTGGCCAGCTTTGCATGTCACACTCCAGTTTTCCAAGAATATTTTTGAGATTTTTGACATCTGGGGTGAATTGGTAACAATTGGTTCAGAGTTTACAAAGGAGAGGTCTCAACATGCCTGTCAATCACTTATCACATGCAATAATGAGTGAAAAAATTGAAGATTTTCCATTTTTAATCCAAAGATTATGCCTTTTCCATTTCTGTGATCTTTAGTTATCTTTTCTGAAGTGGTGGTCTGGTACAAGAGTCACTTGTATATCAGTATTACTATATAATGTCCTTACTTAGGAGAATAAATGGTCATGCCCAAAATGTCTTTCGAATACATTACTAGAAACTGCATTAGAGAGTCAGCACAGTCCTCACAGCTCTCTGTGGTGAAACACATCTTCCTCATTTCTAACCTCATGTGAGGATCAAAGAACATGTGCATAAGGCAGCTGCCAGCACTGGGTGCTACAGCTGTACCAAGGGAGGTTAAAGGAAACCCCGGATCAAGTCACAAAAAACTCCTGCCTCCACTGGGGTTTTTCTCCAGTTGTTTCTTCAAGTTGTCCACTTCCTGGTTTTGGTTCCTCTTTCTACTAAACAGAGATTGAACCCCTTTCTGGGGATCTGCCCTCTTTTGGTATGGGGGAGGAAATCATTGTGTGAACTTCTCTGATTTAATCTGACCCATGTATGACTACTTCTTTCTATAACCTAGTCCAATTCTGGGCAAAGAAAGACAGGTCCTTACCATGTTGACCTGCACAGGATCTGCTAAGCAGATAGGGACAATTCTGTGTCTGGTCTGAAGAGACACATTTAAGGTAAAAATACAGGTTCACCCAACCCAGGGCTGGATGATGAGACCTCACTTAGCTCCTAAGCTTGAACCTGAACTCCAGTGTTTCTGGGGTGAATCTGTGGAGCAAATGGGTCTGCATCTGAGCTGACTCGAGTTACTAAGCACTACTTCCTTCACGAAGTGGTCAGTGCTGAGAACAACTTTTGAGGTCACCTAGCTAACTGGCATCTAGATATGAACCGACATCAAGGTTCCTACTCTTAACAAAAGTTGTCATTAAGCAACAAGGTATGCCCTGATTCAGCACAATTGTCTGGTAAGAAGGAAATTACTAATTTGAGTTCATGATGGAAAAAAACCTCTCAAAAATAATAATTCTTTTAGTCCAAAATATAAGAAGTAAGCATAATGCATAAAGAGAATGTTCTAAAAAAAAAAAAACCAAAAAGCTCGCAGCTTTCATGTCTAGCATTTTACTTCTTTTTAATTCACACCATCCTCTAATTCTAAGTAAATAAGAAAAGATAGCAATTTTTTTGTGTCTTTTTTGAAGCAGGGTCTCCCTGCAGCCCCAGCTGTCCTGGAACTCACTATGTAGACCAGGCTGGCCTTGAACTCACAGAGATCCGCCTGCCTCTGCCTCCCAAGTGCTGGGACTACAGGTATGCACCACCACGCCCATTTTTTTACTTACTATCTCTATCACTTATGAATAAAACATAATTTTGAAAACATTAAGAATGAAGTAACAAGTTACCATCATTTTTACCATCTAACTGTGTACCCTTTCCTCTTTGGCTGTTGGAAGAAAGACAAAGTGACTGACAAACGGTAAATATTTTATCAGGACCAATTATTCCCATTTTAGAGTCAGAAAAAACAAAGCTCAGGAATGAAATACCGCAATCACATCCATTGACTCAAATAGAGAGTCCACTGTGAACCCAGAAGCCAGAGCAGGACCATGCTGTACTTTGGTCAGGCACCAGGGAGGAGCTCTTACCTGTGATTAAACTGGAGATGATTAGAGGGAGGATGAGCATCTTCAGCATCCTCATGAGTATATCCCCTGGGAAGGCTATTAACATAACCACGTCAGGGTGGATGGGAGAAGCCAAGCGAAGCAATCCACCACATACTGCCCCCAAGATAACACCTATTGAGGACCAGGAAAAGGGGAAAATGGGAATTCAGTGCTCACTCTAGTCAAATGAACAGCTCTAGGGACTCAGGCCAGTGATTCTGACCTTCCTGACTCCTCTGCCTTACTAGATAATGAACAGCATGCAAGAAAATCATTATATAAGCAAAGATGACTTTTGACAATTAGTCAAGAGATCTTTCTGTAGCTCTAACTATTCTAACAATACCAGAAGAGACCAATAGAACATTTTCAGCACTTTCTTAGAGAAAAATTGATTTCACTCCAACATCTTTGGTGATATTGACTACATATAGCATCAGAATTCTCAGAAGAACCAACTCCCTGTGAACTGCTTCTCCTCTGAGCCAGACCTAGCCATGTGACCTGATGTTTAATATGTGTCTTCCTTTTTAACTGGAGGTCAGAGACAAGGAACATTTGATTGACCAAACTACTGTGTGCGGCCCATTCTTAATCTCTCGTCTTTGGCATCTAAAGGTCTCCCTGTGACTCAGTCTCTTGAGTCTTCCTTGTCTTCCAGTTCTTTTTACCTAACATCCTTAGACTTCGAATCTTAAGGGAGCTCAAGGAGAAGGCTCTTAAAATCTACAATTTGGGAGGAACCAAGTGGGGCAGAGATGCTGGCAGAACTTCACAGACTTCATAGATTCATACATTCTCACTTCACAGACTCATACATTCCACGAGGAAATCTTTAGCCCTCATAAAATGGGTGGCCAACACAACCCCCCAAACAAAAATCACAAGTTAGGCCACAACCCCACTAACTCTAGGGGACAGGGAGTCTCCAGAGATGTGGGTTATGGAGTTAATTCTAGTTAATGCGGACAGCATGATGTGGCTGAACGGCTGGTTCTTTTTTCTTCCCTTTTACAGGTAAAAAAAAAAAATCATATAGCTCACTTTCTTCAAGTCCTGTGATAAATGAGATCTGATTACATGGTGGGTAGTCTTTGAAAAACCCAACCACACCTGTGGTTTCCTGGTACTAAATGAACTTAGCCAGGGCACCCCCAGTCCTAATTCTAGCCCACTGGAATCAGAGGTGACTGAAGCAAAGGAGAGGCATAACAAGGGTATGTGGGGGGCGGGTGGGTATTGGTGGGTAGTGAGGACATGGGAGGATGAGCTGCGGCTGCTTTTCAATATAGCCTAAGTGAGAGCCAAAGAACAAGAGAGGGATTGAGAAGAAACAGTGAGATGCACCCTGTTTTCAATACCCTCTGGTAGAAAGCCCAAGATGGAGACTGTACAGACATTTCATATAAAAGAATCACCTGAGGGTGAGGCCTAAATCAGGGAGGGCAGACCTGCAAGTTAACCTGGACCAGGATGAGCCTCCCCTATGCTCCCTTCCTCAGCTGCCATGCCCAGTTCATCTAGGTCAGTGGTATTTCTTAGGCCCTCTTTTAGTGGGGTATTCTGCCACTGTTGCCCTTCTCTTGATCAAGTATGTCTCTAAATGTGATCCTGCTCTGGGATCACCTAGAAGGTGTGCTTAGTTGCAGATTCCCCAGTCTCTTTTCCAAAAGCTCAAAACACAGTTATTGCACACCTGGAAATCTGCATGCCCACACACTCACAGGAAATGTCTTCATAGATTCCAGGGGAGAGCAAATGGCCAGGTTTAGATGTAGATTTTGCCATTGAGTCAGTGATGCCTAGCTAACAGGGACTCTAGCAGGGCGCATGGCTTCTTTTTCTGAGGTAGAACTGGCTAGGAAGCCAGCTCTCTCATAAGCCAGGAGAACTCTGAAGAAGGGGGTCAGGGTGGCTTCAGGAACCTACCAAACACCGTCAGAGAGAGCAAGAGGTTCTTCCCCAGTTTGTCACATAGGCGCAGGCCCAGGTTTCGGTGCTTCGGTTCTTCTGCACTGAGATGGCTGTCATGCATGCGCACTTCCACCTGCTTAGGCATATTGTTGGCACTGCAACAGAGGTGAAGGCAGTGGTTAGGGACAGGGCAACCCCATGGACAGTTTCATGGGCTCGGGTAATAGGGGTGTCCCCTAGGCATACTAGGAAGATAGAACAGGAGTTATGCGGGGCACACTGGAATTCCAGCTCCCCTATAAAGCACCTGGGTGCTTCCCCCCACCCTTACCCTGGATCCCCACAATAAAAAACAATGCACCATGGGAAATAATCGGGTTTCCCATGAGTCATTTACATGCTGACTCTGGGAAGGAAGTAGCCCTGCTGCATTTTACTAAGATGGGTTTTCAAATCTATAGGAAATGAACATTCAAACACAGATAGGAGAGGCTTCAAATTTTGAGCTTGCTCATTATTTTAGCAACAGAAAAAAGGTGATATTTCTATAAGAACTGTGGTCTGAATTATTCCAAAATTAGAATGCTCTGAGTTCAAACCTTCCACGTCCTGCACAGGTGAAAGTCACACCTGATGATAACTCAAGTCTTACCTATGTTTTGGAAAAAAATACTTTATATAAGTAAAAGAAAATTTAGTTGACTGGTTTTAAAATGTCATTTGTACAATCAGGACTCTGCTAAATTGTCCATGAGCCAATTCCACTCAGAGTGAAAGCAGCATAGTTGTAAGCAGCATTTTATTTTATTTTATTCTATTTGTCAGACAGGGTTTCCCTATAGCCCAAGCTGGCCTGGAACTCCCTACGTAGACCAGGCTGACCTGGATCTCACACAGTTATTCCTGCTTCTGCCTCCCAAGTGCTGGGATTAAAGGCGTGTGCCACCATGCC